AATTCAGAGGTATGTTGTTATCAAGGATGTCCAGTCTTATCCACAGTCCTGTCTAGTCTGGTGCTTTAAAATCAAAAGGAGTAGTGTTGCCTTTTCTCATTGTTGATAACGTGTCATATATTACAAAATCCTTTATGTTTGGCTATTAATTTGGTGATGAGCCATTTTGATTAGCTGTGTGTTTTGGTACAATGTTGGAGTATATGAAGAATCCTCAGCTTAGTCCTAACAGAGTCTTACCTATTTAATATTTGAGCTGCAGATAATATGGAACTCCTCCACTCGAGCGGAGCTGTTGAAATTCGTGGAGGAGCAGCGTGAAACTCTCGGTCACAATGGTTCATATGACCTGAAAGAGTCTCATTCTTTTGTTTATGAAGCATTATCTAAGGAACTTTATATTGGCCATGTATATTTGAGGGTCTATAATGATCAACCGGATTTCGAAATTACTGAGCCGGAAGACTTTTGCCTTGCCCTGATTGATTTTATATCACATCTAGTGCATAATGCACAAGCTCCAAGCAGGGATGATGTTAATGGTGCTATAAGTAGTGACTTGCCCGAAGAACAACCTTCTTCTGATGATTCTTCAGCACCAGTTAATGGGAAAATCAAAGACGAGGAATTTGAATTAATTAAGTATCTTCAATATGGTCTGATTTCTCTCCAGGTATAAATTAGTTGCTTTGATTATTTTTTCCAAATTTATGGTGACTCTTACACCTTTCATTTTCAATTCCAGCTCTTATTAACGAAGAATCCCAATTTAGCTTCGGTGGTATCCACAAAGGAAAAGTTACTACCCCTCTTTGAGTGTTTTTCTCTTCCCGTTGCTTCAGAAAGCAATATTCCTCAGCTATGTTTAAGTGTGTTATCACGCTTGACTCAATATGCTCCTTGCCTGGAGGCGATGGTTGCAGATAGCTCGAGTCTGCTTATTTTATTGCAGATGCTTCATTCATCTCCCAGCTGTCGTGAAGGAGCTCTTCATGTTCTCTACGCTTTAGCAAGCACGCCGGAGCTTGCTTGGGCAGCTGCGAAGCATGGTGGGGTTGTCTTTATTCTTGAGGTTCTCTTGCCGATAAAAGGTATGGTGCGATCTCATACACATAATTTCATTGTTAGGTTTTAGTTTTGTATCTAAAATGGAAATGCTGTGCAGAAGAGATCCCTCTGCAGCAAAGAGCAGCAGTAGCCTCACTTTTAGGGAAGCTTGTCGGGCAGATGATGCATGGGCCTAGAGTCGCAATAACTCTTGCTAGATTTCTCCCTGATGGCCTTATCTCTGTTATCAGGGATGGTCCTGGTGAAGCAGTTGTGAGTGCCCTCGAACAAACCACTGAAACTCCAGAACTTGTGTGGACTCCAGCAATGGCTGCTTCTCTGTCTGCACAAATTGCAACAATGGCTTCCGATTTGTATCGTGAACAAGTCAGTGGACATGTTGATTGGGATGCACCTGAGCAGGCCTCTGGACAACAAGAAATGAGGGATGAGCCTCAGGTATAACTTATGATCTGTTAGATAACGCAAATTGAAACTTGTTGATTCTGTTTATTGACTAATGCCATCTATTTCTATCCAGGTTGGAGGAATCTACGTCAGGTTATTCCTGAAAGATCCCAAATTTCCACTAAGAAATCCCAAGAGATTTCTCGAAGGTTTGCTGGATCAGTACCTTACATCAATTGCATCTGCGCATTATGATGGCCAACCTGTTCAGACTGAACTTCCCCTACTTCTTTCGGCTGCCCTGGTCTCCTTACTGAGGGTGTATCCTGCACTCGGGGATCATGTCGGATATCTCGGTTATGTGCCCAAACTTGTGTCTGCTGTAGCTTATGAATCGAGCAGAGAATCAATGGCTACAGAAGCTCAGGCATCCGAGGACGCTTCATTGCAGCAAAATTCACAAACTCCTCAGGAGCGAGTTCGTCTGAGTTGTTTGCGTGTTCTGCATCAGCTTGCAGGCAGCACCACCTGTGCAGAAGCTATGGCAGCCACTAGCGTGGGGACACCCCAGGTACCTGGTTCAGATTATAAATGCTGTAAATTTGGTTCCTTCTGGTAAAATATGTGATTTTAAGTGTGGTTTTGTCCTGATGGTTTTTGATCCAGGTTGTTCCACTTCTGATGAAAGCCATCGGTTGGCAAGGTGGAAGCATTCTTGCGCTTGAAACCTTAAAGCGTGTTGTAGTTGCAGGGAATCGAGCAAGAGATGCACTTGTTGCACAGGGTCTGAGGTATGTATCTGCATCTCATGGACACTGAGCTGTAAAATAGTTGCGTATGAAACTTAGTTAAGACTAAACATTGGCAAAACCTTAGAAGTCTTAATGCCATTATCCCTATTATATCCTCTTAGTTCTTAGATGCCTTGAGAATGATTAGGAGCCAATCACCTTCTTGCAATTCACAGGGTCAAAACTGATCTTGTTTTGGGGTGTGATTAGTTTTATTAGAATAGCATTGGGGTATGAATCTAGATGAAAACTGATAACGTATAGTCTCCAATAGCAATATTCATACCAATGCTACGTTAACTATAGGGGCCTGTACTTAAATATTGTAGCTTTGGTTTGACTTGTTATCCAATAGTCATATAGCTTGTGTTGTTATAGGGTTGGTCTTGTGGAAGTTCTTCTTGGTCTTCTTGATTGGCGAGCTGGGGGAAGAAATGGACTTCGTTCTCAGATGAATTGGAACGAGTCAGAAGCATCAATTGGCCGGGTTCTTGCAATTGAGGTTGGTATCATTTAACGTTTCAAGGCCTTTAGTTAGTTTAGTTCTTCAAGTGTCGTCTTTTAGTTAAAACAAACAATGTCTTTTTGCACTACAGAACAGTTTTTTTGTTAAAAGAAATGTAGACAACCTTACTGGAATCGAGGGGATATATACTGGTATAGTAGTAATGGACTACTCGAAATAGTGTGAATTCTCATGCTATTGTATTATTTCATGACATTTCTGGTCATAACCCCTTCTTTTCTACATGTAGGTTTTGCATGCATTTGCAACAGAGGGTGCGTATTGTACCAAAGTACGTGACATACTGAATGCATCTCCCGTAAGTCTTGAACCCTTAATCCTATGCCTGCTTAACTTTGCTTTTTTATTGTTGGATGATATTATCAGAACCCCTTGGTACCAAAATTACCTGCAGCAGCTCTCCTATTCTATTCTCAGAGTTGAATTATGCTATTTATGCATGCTCTCCAACCAGAATAATTGGTCATCTGGTTTTGCCAATGTTTTATGTTCTTAATCCACATATGACGGCTATGTTTGGTAAACCTAGCTGATAGCTTATAAGTGAATTCGAGCTTATAACTATTTTCTTATGGCTGATGGCTGGAAAGCTAGTTGATATGATAAAAGTGTTTGGTAAAATTAGCCAACGGGCTTATTTGAAAAGCTATCCAAGGAAGCTTATAAGATAAGCTTGAGCTTTTGAAAAAATCTCGTCCTATCAAACGAAGCTTATTTGAATGTATGGAGCTTATAAGTTATAAGGGTTATGATGTTTACCAAAAACGCTCAAATTTATGAGATTGTTGATTTCAGATAATTCATATAGGGTGCCAATTTCGTGTGTATTAGACTTTATCAAAGAAAATAAATAACCATTCTCTCTTGTATGTTGTTTCAACATATAGCTGTTGAAGGTGTGCCCGGGTTTGGAACGGCTTAAATTCTGTTATACGATGTCTATTGTTGACAAATTGACATCTGCAGGTTTGGAATGCTTATAAAGACCAGAGGCATGATCTTTTTCTTCCTTCAAATGCTCAAACTTCAGCTGCTGGAGTTGCTGGTCTCATCGAAAGTTCCTCGTCTGGCCTAACTTATGCACTAACAGCTCCCCAACCACAAACAAGTCCAACGAAAGAACCTTCCACAGTCAACATTTGATTTACATTGGAGAGCAGAGAGTTACACAGTCGAATATGAAATATTATATTGCTGGCTTCTCTACAACAAAAATAATGAGAGAAGACATTCCGGCTGAGTCACTTACGCCATTGTTGGTGCAAAATGTCCTAATAAAACATGAATGTATAGCTCCCCTCTTTGCCTCTGTCTTTTCTCTAACTTTTTTTTTCTTTGTTCTTTTTGATTTTTCTCTCTACATAAACGTGTGACATTTTCGTGAACTACAAATACTGAATCCATGAGCTTTAGGCAAATATAAGTTCTGTAAATGGCCTTTTTGTCATCATCATTGTATAGTTTTGATAGGTGAGATTGATGACTACTTGGAAATTTTAGCTGTGCTTGACTGCTTGTCACGTAATGCTCCTTTGCAGATAGACCGAAGCAGTTATGGTATTTGATTCATTTGGAATGATTTTTAAGCATGGTTTG